ACAATTTAAAAGTATGATTTTGCTCGAAATTATATGAAAATTTAAAGAAACGCAATATAATAAACTGTGGTTACGTTCTAGGCACAAAAATACTGAGACATGTTATTATAGCTTAAAGAGTAGAAGCTCAATAAATCAAGAGAACTTGTCATTAAGGACAGAACAGACGGCTGTTATTTTCCCAACAGCTGCACTGAAATAAACGTGGTTCTAGCGAAAGTCATAAAGAAGTTGGAATATGTTTAGTGATTTAACTAGGCTCTTAATAACTTTTATCCGCAGGCAAAGCTATAGTACTGCTGTGCCCCTCGCCCCCTGCTTTCTTGAAGGTTACATTTTCGGCTCCGGGTGCGGTGTAACACAAGCTGGCCGCCCGTAGGGTAAGATGAATTGTACGCCCTGTTGCAAATCGTGTTTGAATTGGAAATAAGGCAATTCGAGACGAGTGTCTTTTTTTAGAGGATGCACAATTCATCCACGTTTAGGTGGCAGCACCTAGCCTCCGGTAAAAATGCACTTTATTTTCCCTATAAACAAACTGATGACTGCTTCGTTTCTGCACAGACTTCTTCACCTTGTCAGGATTCAGGGATAGGATACGGTAGGAAGCTGTGGTCTGTAAACCGTGAACTTGACAGATGAGTAACTAAGATTATAACGTTTCCACTCAAGTTGGTTTTCGTCCAGGTGTTACATCTTACAGTGCTCTATAGAAACTATATATATATATATATATATATATATTCAACTTCTGTTTATTAAGATTAATTGCACTTTTTAAGAACGATATTCCGTGTTCCGTACTGCCCTTGAAACTACTTCCTCCACCATCAATCGTGTTAATACTGTTGTTAGACGGCAATTTCCATTGCAATAAGCTTCTGCAAAGGATTATAAGGTCAACTAATATGAACTTGCGATCACAGCAAACTACCAACTTAACAGAGAAAATTAAAACTAACCTAGTAATTAATACAGCTAATTAAATATAGTTTTCTTACATTCTTTTACACCATAAATCTTGACAAACTTTCCAAAACCCTTCACTGTACATAGACGTAATTTTTCCAAGATCTCGTTTAAGCAAAACAAAGGCACAAAAGCTAATTGGAGTTGCAAAACTCGATAGGTATGCGATCAAATGGAATTACTATAGTTCCAATTTCTTCGGCCATGTTTTTCATGAAAATAACCGTTGATTTCGAGGTGCAGATGGATATTGTGAATGTTTGGCTTGTGAGCTTTCATTTATCTTAAATCATTATTTAGTATCGTGTTACTAGAACAAGGAGATCTACTCAACTTCATCGTAATGTCTTTTTGGGTCAGAACGTTCTCTTTCACAGCCGATGAGGGTATTGCTCCAAATTAGCTTAGGGTGTGGTTGTGGAACCTACTGCTGTTGTAAACGCTTTACTAATAGAGTTTTTCCCTTTACATGGGGACCTGGCATGGCTAGGTGGTTAGGGCGCTCGACTTGCAATTTGGGGATCACCCTTTTAGCCGTGGGGACGCTATAATGTTACGGTCAATCCCACTATTCGTTGGTAAAAGAGTAGTCCAAGATAGGGCGGTGGATGGTGGTGACTAGCTGCCTTCTCTCTAGTCTTTCACTGCTAAATTAAGGACGGCTAACACAGATAGCCATCGTGTAGCTTTGCGCGAAATTTAAACCAAACCGTTTACATGGAGAACGTCAAAGGCTTCCCTCTTCGAAATATTATATTATTTTACTTTGCTTCTTCTAACAGCCTTTCTATACAAATAATATCTTTCCCCGGAAACGCTGCAACGTATTTTTACTGCTATAAGTCTATTCGTGGTGGTATTTCACTGTCGAATAGTTGGGAATTTACCATGAACCAAATTTATTGATGCTAAACGTGTTCCTCATAACGTTAGGGCTTGCGTTAGCGGCGACACTTCACTGCATGAACACATACCAATCGTTCATATAAAGGGAGATGTATTACTTCCAATTTTTACACATACTATTTAGAATTTTTAAGGCCCACTTAAATTAATGTTTTTGATTTTGGTTCATTAAAACTGTAATTTTACACACGTGTATTGTGTGTTATACCATATAAACAGTAATATATTCCATACTATAAGGTAATCATTTCGATTTACTCGGTTTTAACAGGTAGAATGGATTGAAACTTATAACAAATATAGGATATTTATTGTACTTTTATGGCTTTTTCAATCCAAAATACAATCATCGTCATATTCAGTAAAGTATCATTCGCATGGGGATTTCGTGCTGAAGCTGAAACCGTTACAGATCGGCTAAAATGCTTAGAAATTAATTTCCGGTATCGTATGTGAATTTCGTATTACTCAGCTTAAAGTAAGTAAAATCTTTCCCGGAGAACCGGAGAATCGTTTGTGTTCTTTTCCATTAAAACAGTCCCTCATATAAAAGATATGTAACAACGTAATGTCATGATTTATAAATTTGAAAGTATATCATTAAACGTGCCTTTATTAAAGCTGTTCACTTCTCTGTTTCAATCATCCGATGTATAGCGAGTACAATTAAATGATGAAAAATTTCTCTTTGTCCAATGCGAGGTTTAAAGAACATATAATTCACTGATTTTAATTTGTTTGGAGTCGATTAAGAGCCTAAGATGGTACAGTTACAGTTTATCTTTCGATTATAGTTCTTTTTGGTACAGTTTACAGTTTACAGTTACAGTTTATCTTTCGATTATCGTTCTTTTTGGTACAGTTTACAGTTACAGTTTATCTTTCGATTATCGTTCTTTTTGGTACAGTTACAGTTTATCTTTCGATTATCGTTCTTTTTGGTAGTTTAACTTTAGCTTCATCATATATAAATACATAAGAATACAACAGTAACATAAGTCGCTGTATCTTCTTTGAAAATTAACTCAAAACGAAGTTTAAATTGTGTGATAAATAACATCTCCCTGTGGGCATTTTCCTGCATTTGTTTGTTTGTATGCATTTTACATAGTTATAAACCTCATTTGAAATTTTGAAAGTGTCAAGTAGAATCCCCCCAGGAGGTGAGAGCATTTTTCGACAACATCTGATGCTATCAAATACGACCATTGAAATAGTTTCCATCAATGCAATAGCATTGGTATAGGCCCTAAGATAAATTGAATGTAATTTCAAAATCAGTCAGATTACGTCATTTTAAATGAGTTTGTGTGTAAACTTATATGTACCATTTTTTGTGCCGATGGCCATGTAAAAGTTTCAAATTATAGTTGATTTGTTATGTAGTGTTGATTCTAGTGAGGGCGTGCACACACACACACACACACGAAGATAAGTAGCTTCTGGTAAAAATTATCAACTCAAATGCAGCGTGGATAAATAATCGAACATTTTTCTGGAAAACAAGAAGGGAGTACAAAAATAAGTTGACGAGTCCCAGTTATCCATGAGTAGTGTCGTCAACACTAAAAACCTCTGCACACTGGACTTTAGAAACCTGAATTGAATAAGAATCAGTTAGCTAGTATGCTTAAGAATTTATTAGTTGAAATGTTATGTCACATTAATACCGCGGCACAGAATTAGTTTTATTTCTACGTGAGGGAGCAGTTTACAGTCTCTTAGTTGTTTGTTATGTCGCTACACGAGGGCTATCTGCTCTAGCCGTCCCTGAATTTGTAGTGTAAGACTAGAGGGAAGGCAGCTAGTCATCACCACCCACCCCCAACTCTTGGGCTACTCTTTTACCAACGAATAGTGGGATTGATCGTCACGTTATAACGCCCTCACGGCTGAAAGAGCGAGCATGTTTGGTGTGACAGTCTCTTAATAATAATAATACAAATAAATCTCGTACTTCGTTGTTTCTAACTGGTGATATGCTTATTACAGAGAAATACAAACGTATTTATAAATATGGCCATGCAACGTTTCGACCTCATCATCAGGCAAGAGGAAATGCAATCATGTGATACATTCGAAAATTAAAATAATGTTCTAATAGCGTGAAGCAAGAACAACAATAAAGTTAACCAACAGTATTATTGACTGTTTACAAACAGTACCTATGTATCAAATTATCGTTATTTCCTCTTGCCTGATGATGACCTAAGCAGAAGGTCGAAACGCTACATGGGTATATTTATATATATATATACTTGTGTATTTCTCTGTAAGAAATATTTATATAATTTTAGATTTCAGTTTCATCATTGACTGGTTTTAAGTCACTCTGATTCTTAACCTTGAAAAATGTTCTATTCTCTACTAAAGAGAAAAGCTCTAACTAAACTAAACATGCTCTACTTTGATCTCGAACTTCTCTGTGCTTCACCACTAAAAAAACAGCTGTTGATAAGTGTTAACGCTACAGTGTTAAACACCGAAATCTGAAAGTCATCCTAATATTCGTGATTAAAATCATGATAGTACGCAGATGATATTTTTTAAATTCTTCTTATTTACTTCATTATGGATTTCAAACCAGTTGTGTGTAAAAATAGCATCAAGTTTTTTGTACTTCATATAAAATAGCAGTTCAGATATGCTAAAGAATTCTGGTATTGAACGAAATGCTTCCTCGACAGTGGTTTGTAGCAAGTAAAACTTAGATTAGAAATGCTATTTTTACACGCCTCTGATTTGAAATTTCTTGTGGGCTAATTACGTTTAAGGGGAATGTGAAAAAAAACAACGTTTGCAGTGAAGCATGATTACAGCTAACTCGTAATATGAGATCAAACTTTTACACCCAGAAGCTGGACTAAAAAAAATAAGAATACTTAATATATTACTTCGCGATGCTTTGATGTTGTTATAGTACACATTCTAATGTTTAGTGTTCTGTTTTTATTGTTGCCGAATGCTTTCTTTTTCTTTTTTTTTTGCTTGCTAGTTGTGACTCTCTTTTGAACTATAAAAACTGTTCTTCACTTTGAGTAATGGTAATGTCCCACGTTTTAACTCATTTACTAAAATCTTTGCAAGTCAACATTATTAGTTGTTGTTTTTTATTTGTACGCTAGTGAATGGTGGCTGGTCCAGCTGGTCACCCTGGAGTGAATGCAGTAGCCGGTGTGGCCGAGGGATTCAGACCCGGAAACGCTTGTGCAGCAATCCCGCCCCGCTAAACGAAGGGGAACAGTGTGTTGGGGAGACCGCACAGAAGACAGACTGTACGACATTATGTCCTGGTAGGTTACTCTCTATCTAAATAGTAGGCTAACAGTCCTCCAGTGGGACAGCACTAAGTCTTTGGATTTACAATGCTAAACTCAGGGGTTCGATTCCCCTTGGTGTACACAGCAGATAGCCCGGTGTGGTCTTGCTACAAGAAAACACAAGCAGGCTAACCCATAATATAAGATCAAAGTTTTAAACCAATAAGCCGGACTAAAAAGAGAAAGAGTACATAATATATTACTTCACGATGATTTCATGTCGTCACAGTACACATTATAATACTTGTTGAACAATATTACAACATAGCTTTAGCTGATAATTCTAACTGTTCACTTAGTTTCACAACTTGCCAGTTTTCATCGTGGAGACGTTACCCACACTCTGAGAAAGTATGTATTAACATATGTGAAAACAAAACATTTATTAGGTATACCTGTATCTCAGGAACATAGTTCAGCGACATCTCACGCTGTTTTGCCCGAGTAATACATCATAGTTATATTTATATCGATGTTCTAACCTCGAGGGCTTTGAGTAAGATTTTAGTTGCCGGTTTTGAACAAGTTTTTATTTTCCTTCAAAATTCATAAATATTTTAGTAAAACAAGCAAGAAAAGAATAATACTCATGAATGTACCGCATCCTCAAAATAAGCTGAAGTTCTACATAAATTGATGTATGAATATTTTTTGAAAGTACGTAACTGTTTAAGAGAAGTGGCCGTTTAATTCATTAAATATTTTTTTAAAAAAAGCTAAAATGGGGTTTAGAATAAAAGATCATAAAATATCATCACGTTAATGTGGTATCATCAAGCAAAAACATTGCAACGACACAACACAAATGCCCCCCAGTGTCACAGCGGAATGTCTCCGGACTTACAACGCTAGAAACCGGTTTTTCGATACCCGTGGTGGGCAGAGCGCCCATTGTGTAGCTTTGTGCTCAATTACAAACAAACACAACACAAATACCCAAGGGTGTTGTGGTCATGTGATCAAATAGAACTAAAATAAATACAAACTACTCCTACCTCATTATCACTTTATTTGCTGAAATTTTAATCGTTTAATTAAAATAGCCTTTCTATAGCTTCATTAATTTGATGATTCTTTACTTTGCCTCCTTCCGTAAAACCTAGTTTTAATTTTTGTGAACCCTTTAGTGGTTTAAACTGCGAGGTATCTGTTTTATTTATTCTTTTCCACGATATCGTGGTTTGTTCAATGGATATAAGGGAAACCACAATATCGTGGTTTGTTCAATGGATATAAGGGAAACCACAATATCGTGGTTTGTTCAATGAACATAAGGGAAACCACAATATCGTGGTTTGTTCAATGAACATAAGGGAAACCACGATATCGTGGTTTGTTCAATGGATATAAGGGAAACCACAATATCGTGGTTTGTTCAATGAACATAAGGGAAACTTCATGTTGTCTAAAAGTTCTGGCGTCGGTACCATTATCAACTGTAACTGATCGATAATGTGTTCCAGAACCAATCAAAGTACATATCCTGTGATTAAAACATAGTATCAATAGTCTAATCTCAGCACCCGACAGTGATCTATAGTAGTTAGTGAATTTAATTCAGCTCAGATATCGATTTAACAGTTGATGCTCGGAAAGCACGTGTTAATTAATGGTTTAAAATCTAACTGATTCCACGTGTTAGTTTATATTCTCGTTTCGCTATAATTGAGTATTAGCTAGCTTATGATTATGGTTTCAGTCGTATTCACAAAATTATATTCTCGTTTCGCTATAATTGAGTATTAGATAGCTTATGATTATGGTTTCAGTCGTATTCACAAAATTATATTCTCGTTTCGCTATAATTGAGTATTAGCTAGCTTATGATTATGGTTTCAGTCGTATTCACAAAATTATTTCTGAACCCCCCTCCCCTCTTTCCCTCCACGTGATAGTTGGCTCTTTTCGAGAAATTTTACGTGACTTTCTAATTACAGTTTATAAATTACAGGTGGTTTTCACTTTAGGATACACAACTGAAGGCGCTTCATCAATTCGCCTGTTTTTAGAATTATTCGTTTCGGACTCTCTTTTTCTGTTTTTTTTTTAGTTCTTTTAAAAAAGAATTCGTGTCATCGCAATAGATTTCTGGCACTAGAAGCGTATTTGATCCAGAGGGTAGAGAGCCAAGAATTTGTCAGTGCTACGAATACGTATGAGATTGGTAGAAAAAAAAATGATGGTGTACTATCTCGATCTGAATCTTTTCTTTTTTCTTTTTTGCTTTATCTCTGTAGAGAAAATAGCGATACGTTATCATTATTCGAACCTTTTGACTTGGGCCTTTACGTTAACTAGAACTTTATGTGATACGTCTTTATCGAATCGTTAGTAAGCCTCGTCGTTTCTGGATTCAGGCGTCTACCCTCGAAGATACTCGAATCATCTGTTTAATGTGAAAAGATTGTATTCTTCAACGATCGAATCCTACATCACGAGTCGTTCGATTTCTTTCGTGATAGGCTTTGATAACTAGGATGAAAACAATACTCGTATAAAGCAAGTTACGATCGGTTTCAAAGTTTTAGGAGGTTGCTGATCTCCTTGCATGCGCTCTTTATGCAGTCTTTTTTTTTTCGAAGTTCCATATCATTTGTCAAACTTGTACGTGAAATTGTTTTGCATCGTAAAACACAAGGATATGTAAAAAGCGCCATCTATCGGCATTATCTTTATATTAATAAAGAAACCACATTTTATAAAATAAAATAAAAAAGTTATATCATCCATTTCATTCTCATTTTGAAATTAAGTCGATGAACTTTACGCCAGAATGGTTAGAATTAGTTCACGTTTCTAGCTTTCAAGACTGATAGCCTGTTACAATAAGGATTTATACGACTGTGTTGCACATAATTAACCAAAGCACTCAAACATCGAAAGTGTAGATTTATATGGTCTTATCGATATACAAATACCAAAGTACGTTAATAATTGCTTCCGCGTGATAGCGTTTGTCTGATTAATTTATGAATTATGTAGAAATATACAATTTTACTTCTAAGACTAAGTTTCATTTTTTATCAATAATAAAAAAATATAAATTTGATTGGAAATATTTCACAAGGAATGACTCCATCTTCTTCATTACTACAATTTTTCGTATTAAAATTAACTTGTTATTTCAACGTCTCTTACGTTAACCACGAAACTTTTGTTTTTGATTAAACAAGTAATTAACGTTTTGTCACCAGTACAAAATATAGCTTTTTATATACTATTGCACGTGTATTTAATTAATTTATTAATTCTGCATAATTTATCTTCTTACCTTTAAAATTATGAAATCAGAGTACCACTCAGACACAACTTCAGTAGATTTAACGAGGTTAAATAAACTAAAATTGCTTATTACATACAGTGAGTGAATTGGAAAGAAATTCGATGAAATATTCCCGCGGAAAGTTTTTTTAGTTAAGTTGTTATCTCGTATGATTATATTTTCAATTATTTCTATATGAAGATGGAGCGTATTATGAACAGAATTTTCAACCAAAAATGAGGGAAAAAAACAGAGTTTAATTATTTCTATGTACTTTAAAATCAATACTCTTGTTTTCTTCAAGCTCAATTAAAACTCACTTTTAACTCTAGAATCTGTGCTAAGTTAAATATATGCACTCATAAATCCTGTAGGCATGTGTTTATACAGTAATGGAAATGATTAAGTACACAAGCTTCTTATTTCTTTAATTCTTCTTCATTTCAAAGTAGATCCATAACACATGTCGTTGTTTTTTTAACATAGCTCCTAAGTTTCGAGTTTAATAAAGGTCGTAAACAATCCTCCAAGTAGGAGAAAATTACTAATATGTATGTGCGTATAATTATAAAACATATTTACTTCTCGTGCACATTTTCGATAAAAACATCCCTTGCGAAATGAGTGTAGATATTCCTTTGGACCGTAAGAGTTGTTAAGTGATTTTTATGCACATACATTGCGGAATCATTTTTAATACAAAGATATTTCCAGCTAAACTTATACAATATCCAATATCCTTGGAGAGTATGATATGTTCTTCTTTTCAACGAGAAAGTGTTAAAAATTGTGTTACAGTAAATGGAGATGTAGATATTTTAAAGTTTTTCTAAGCTGTGGTAGCATTTGTTAAAACATTGAAATTATACCTCATGTAAAAAAATAACTTTTCTTTAATGCTGCACTAAGACAACAGGAAGGAAAACACCATCAACAGGGGTAAGTAGCTAGTCAGTAAAATATAAGCTTCTACAAAGTATTTATTAATTAGCCAAAATGTGTTGTTTCTAGAAAACAAAATATATGATTTATTAAAGATATGAGTAATCAATCCAAGAGATGTTAGCTTCTACCAATAGTTATTATATTTTAAATATATTAATGGTTACGAAGAAATTTCAAAAGCAACTATTATTCATTAATTGAGTGGCTACAGAGAGTTGAGTAGTTAATCAAAAACAATTATTAAGGAAATGAATGACTAAGAAGAATTAATCCAAGGGCGAATGTATGAATAAAAGAGATGTAAGCTTTTATAAGCACTTATTAAATAAATGAGTAGTCAGGAAGAACTGTCAAATGGATGAGTGGCTACAAATAACTAGCCAAGAGCGATTGGTTAATCAAAAGTTATTGCAGTTAGTACAAACAGTCCTCCAGAGGGTCAGCGGTAAGTTTCCGGACTTACAATGCAAAGAATTCGAAATTCGATTCCCTGTGATGGACAGAGCGCAGATAGCCCATTGTGCAGCTTCGCGTTAAAAAAAAGGACAATAACAAATTCTTGTACAAATATCCTTCAACAAGGTGTAAGTAGTTAGTGGTAAAATGTTTTTACAAAAGATAAGTAGTTATGAATAATGGAGTGAGTGAATATTCAATGAGATATTAATTTCAACAAACACATCTATAGGGGTGAGTGAATATTCAATAAGATATTAATTTCAACAAAGACGTGTATAGGGGGAGTGAATATTCAATGAGATATTAATTTCAACAAACACATCTATAGGGGGTGAGTTATAGATGTGTTTGTTGAAATTAATATCTCATTGAATATTCACTCCCCCCTATACACGTCTTTGTTGAAATTAATATCTCATTGAATATTCGGGGGTGAGTGAATATTCAATGAGATATTAATTTCAACAAACACATTTATAGGGGTGAGTGAGTATTTAATACAGTATTATTTTTCACCAAAAATATAAAAAATGCTGAATAGAGTTATCAGTAATTTATTACGTACAATAAAATAACTATCAGCTTATGTAAGTCAACGTTAGTTTCTACAAAAACTAAGGTACAGATAAATGTCTACGTATATATATATAGACACATTGCATTAGATTTACATAACGAATAAAACTATTATTCTTAATGTAACATAGCAAAATTGCAGCAAAGAACACATTTTATAAGCAAAAATGACTTAAACTCTAGAATGTAACCAACGTTTCGGCCTACGCCCAAGACAGTATAAGTCGTTTCATAATTAATAACTACTCAGAAGATGGCAAAAGCCGAATAGTTAGTAACATAAACGGTTATTTAGTTATAAAATGGTTAAAACTGCAGTTTAACTGACTGTTCGTTGAAAGATATAAGCCTATAGGTATTTTAACCACGTCTAAACAATTACCTGGACATGGAAACATATAGCTCTATTTTATGTTGCTTTTTTATATAAATAACACCTTCAACACAAGAACGGTGTGTAGAGGGCATTCAGGCATGCAGGACAATAACCTATAAAAGTCATCTCACATGATTTTATTCCGTTCTGCATAACCTCACACACACTGCTTTATAAAATTATTGTTCAGAACAGTGCTGGGTATACATTTAATACAAAAGCCTTCTATCAATAATTAGTTATAACAAAAGCCAGTTATCAAGTCGTTTTATCTGAAGCTACTCGTGTAGCATATTTTATTTTATTGTATTTTCCCAATTTTCAAGGGCGATAACATCTGTATTAAGAAATACGTAACCACCTGATAAAAGTATAATTATAATTATGACAATAAATGCTTAGAAACGTATTCATCTTAAACCGGTAGAAGGTATTGAAAGTAATGTTTCAGTAAGCATAAATAAAAGCATCTTATATAGAGTTTGGATGGGAACTTTTGTTCAACAGAAAGATTGACACACATACCTATGTTCAATAGCATAATACTTCAGAATACACAGCGTATAGTTCGGTAAAAAAGCTTGTAACTCCAGTGATATGCCGTCTATCTTTATGTGGCTTATAATTAACAGTTTGTTTGCTTTCAAGATAAGTTCATCCGGTGGACTAATAGGAAATGTATGTTACTGGATTTGCTACTTTAACGATGTATGGTAAATTAATAGGAAGTTTTGTGTGGTAGGAGGCGAACTCACTCACTGCGATAGAGAATCCTCCCCAGAGGAAACCCACTTTCCATTGATTCATATGACAAGTCATAACAATTCTCCTTCCGTTACTTCGGTAAATCTGTGGTTATTAATCTCTAAGAAATAGACACAAGCAGTGGAGAACTTGAAAAAATGTATTAAAAACTATGTTGGGGGTAAGCATTAAACCTAAAACTGAGGTGTCACCTATTTGTTTGCTTGTTTTTTATAAAATGATATATATTCCACACTTATTCCTACATTAAAGACTAAACAATTCAAACTTCAAAGGAGATACTTTTTTTTAAAAAAAGCAATAAATGGAGGACAAGGACGGGCTTAGATTTTACTATAGAAAGTACTTCTACGTAGCTTTTAAACATTTTTACAATAAAGCAAGCAAAAGCAGTATCTAGTGAAAATAAACTGTGAATCGATTTTTTATTAAACTACAAGTTCCTATATACATACCAGTTTTGGAAAAAAGAGCTATTAATCACTTTCAGCAATCAGTCAGATAAACGGTGAATATGTATATCATTCTTATCTGTGGATGTGGTAATCGGTGAATATGTATATCCTTCTTATCTTTAGGTGTGGTAAACGGTGAATATGTATATCATTCTTATCTGTGGATGTGGTAATCGGTGAATATGTATATCCTTCTTATCTTTAGATGTGGTAAACGGTGAATATGTATATCCTTCTTATCTGTAGATGTGGAAAAACTGTTTTTTACTTGCGCATTTCTGTTATGCAAACAGCATAATGTGTTGTGTAAATGTTACATAGCTTTAGTCTCATTTATCCTAGCTTATGTATATGAAGCCCGGTATGATCAAATGGTTAGGACGCTTGAATCGCAATCTGAGGGTCGCGGGTTCGAATCCCCGTCCCACCAAACATGCTCGCCTTTCAGCCGTGGGGGCGTTATAATGTGACGGTCAATCCCACTATTCGTTGGTAAAAGCGTAGCCCAAGAGTTGGCGGTTGGTGGTGATGACTAGCTGCCTTCTCTCTAGTCTTACACTGCTAAATTAGGGACGGCTAGCGCAGATAGCCCTCGTGTAGCTTTGCGCGAAAATCAAAGCACACACGCTCACGCACATGTATATTCAATATATTAGTAGAAACATATCTCCCACAGATAAATGAGATCGCGTTTAATAAAGTTCAAGAATTTATTCCAGTTATGTACACCCTTATTGCTAGTCTTCCTACACTTTATAGCGAAGTTAGTCCTCAAAGATCTTTAGAAAATGTTCTCGTTAAGTATACATGAAACACTAATTTTGTAAACAAAGTCCTCTAGCTGTTTCTTAAACATTTATATACACTTACTAAGTTGTTATAATAATGATTATTATTATTAATTATTTTACTCTTTAACAAGGCGCATTTTACCGAAAACACATCAAAGCTCTAGCATAGAAGGTTACAAGCTATATTGATATATTATATAAGATGTTCGTTATTGGAGATGACGTTGAAGGACCATATACACACAGTTATACGTAGAAAAACTCCCAATATCATGTAGCCAGAGAAAGACAAAGTCACTTGATTACATTACTACTTCAGGGTACGTATGTTTACAAGCATGACTATAATCTGAATTGAGAGTTTCAGTCCAGCCACGCAAATCAAATTGAAAAATAAAAATGACCAAGACTTTGGAACTAATTCTTTATAACACAGAGAAGATGTGCTTGGATTTTACCAGACACACAATGTGTTTATCTCTCTGTCTTTCTCCCTGCTTCTTCTGTTTGAATTCTCGTTACTTCTATGAGGTTTTGGAAATCAATAATCAGTGTCGAGTGAAGCCGACACTTGTTCTTTTTGTCAACTGATCAGAATTCCTGTTCGTAGAATAAAGACAAACGCTGTTCGATCGTCCTTCAAAACTGGAGCTAGCTTTGGAGACTTTTTTTACAGGTTTTTTCCTTAACAAACTTCCGGTAGGAGCAAATGATACAAAGAGGATTCGATCTATGCCCAGTCTGTCCCTTTGTCGGCAATAATGGGCAGTGGCAAACGTAAGAAAGAATTAAGATAAACGTACCATAAAAAAAAGGATTAGGGCAATATTTATAGTCTCTTCGCCGCTCGATGCTCCCTGAAGTGATTGAAGACATTGGGCATACCATAAATACCGAAAACTACAAATACATTAATTAAATCAATACTGCATCTTAATTGCAAAAAGCGGTTGTATTTGGTGAACTAGAAAGACTAATACCTGATCACCTTCTGCATATCTAAGTGACTTTGATTTCGTCTGCTTACTGAGTTTGTATCTAAAGTTGTGCCAAAAGAAAAACTTGAGTGGTCTCTAGGGTCAAAATGTTTAAAGTCAAAAGAAATATATACCCAAATATAAGTGGCCTTGTTATTTTGCAACTATAGGTCACCATGTAAAATACCAGTCTCGCTGCAGAAATCTACAAAAAAGTATTTCTACACGCACGCACACTGCTTCAATATAGATTACTTGTTATGGCAACCCACAAAGCGAAATGTACGAAGCCGTCTCAGTCTTCTCCTCTTCATTTGTAAACCCTTCTCCGTGGATTTTTAAAATTTTCGACTTGATAGTTAAAAAAAAATGTGTATAATTTTTCGACCAACATAATCCACTTTCGTGAAGGTAATGGATTGTAAAATCGCTCGTTTGCACGCCTGGATCGCTCCGTACTTCTGAAATATTGAAAATAAATAGCGTCGAGTGATGTTTAGCAAAAATAAAATCGAAAACTTTTGAAAGTCAAGTGAACGTTGTAACAAATTGTAATCGAAAGTTTTAAAATTTTGTTTAAAAAAAATGTGACGCA